GTATGCACATGTGGGTTGCCTCCAGAGCACTGCAAACCCAACATGGCTATGTGTACAGGTCACCCCGTTGCATTACAGTACACGGGCCGCCTACCCTACCCTGCAGACTTGATATGTTGTATACGTGGCCCGCTTACCCTACCCTGCAGGCCTAGTATAGTGTCCGCATGTGGGCTGCCTTCAGAGCACTGCAAATCCAACATGGCTATGTGTATAGGTCGCCCCGTTGCATTGTAGCCTGTACGGTACACGAGTCGCCTACCCTACCCTACAGGCCTAGTATGGTGTGCGTATGTGGGTTGCCTCTAGAGCACTGCAAACTCAACATGGCTATGTGTACAGGTCGCCCTGCTGCATTGCTGCCTATACGGTACGCGGGCCTCCTACCCTGCCTGTAGGCCCGGTAAGTTGTATACGCAGACCACCTACCTACGTTATAGACTCAATATGGAAAAGGGGTGAAGAGTAATAAGAAAAAAAAAGTGTTTTTATTACCTTCTTGAGCTTCCAATGAATCCAATCGCAATTTTTTCCAAGACCACCTAATGTGCTCTGCGAGCCCAAGGTATAGAATGAAGTTGAAAATTATTTTATTATCTCTTCGGGCTAAGTACTTTGCTTGCGAGCTCATTTGGGTATTGTTGTTTGCTTCAACATCACCTATCCATCTTGTGAAACCTTCAATTCTTGTCGAGATCACTCATGTTGTGTGTGGGTCCACTAGTGCGCTCAATTTTTTATTTTCATTTATTTTTGTGTTGGTTGTCTAGCCAAGGTGTTGTTATTTGGTCTAGCACCGTTCACCCAGCCTGCGGGCTCTTCATGGTCACGGTACGATTGATATTCTCATTGATAGCGTCCTAGTGAACGATTTCGGGCTCCCTCCTTGATAAGTTCCCTCATTTTGACCCATTCATGACTTCGAGTCTCATTGCTTGGATCCTTTTTCCTTCCCTCGGTGGTGCCATCCTCCTAGCTTAAGGAATGCTAAGTAAGGTCGGGGGAGGATTCAATAGGGTATCAGATTGATTGTTGGTGGCTAGATAGGGTCGGGCTGCATTCCCTTTTTGTTGCTGGGTAGACCTTTGCTGATGACATTAGATATCTCATAAGCTAAGGGTTGGAAGCTAAGTCCAACCCTCGGGGACCTGGTTGGTCCTGTCGACTAGATAGAGTCGAGATGCATTCCCCTTTGTTGTTGGGTAGACCCTCTGCTGATGACATTGGCTAAGGGTTGAACGTTAGGTCCACCCTCCGGGTGACCTTGGTTGGTTTTGCCGACAGTAGCTTATCCTCTTATGGCTATAATGTATGATAGACCTCTTGTGTCTTCCAGGTGAAGAACTACCCTAATGAATTGGTCCGACCCCCGCCTTATCGGCTATGGTCTTCTTGCGAGTACGAGGAATGTTCATTTTGTGACTCGACCATTTTGGTGTATCTCAGGTTTGACCACGTATAGGGAAAGGGTAGAACGGGTAGAAACTACGAACATGTGCTCTTCATATCGTTCCCCACAGACAGCTAATGATAATTTTGTCAGGATGGGGTCTATCGCAAATTGGGTATGGAAATACATAACAGAGGTAGGAAAATAGTACAGTAGTATTATTCGTAGGGGCGCTAGGCCCAAAAGAGTGCGTACAAAGCCCAATATACCAGCCCAAAAGGACAGTCCAAATAATGAATAAATAATACAAGCTATAGCCCAAGTATATGACTATGAATAAATCATATTGTTGTCGTAGGGAATTGAGTGGATATCATTTTTAACTTGTGGTATGATCAACCTGTTGAAAAAATTGGCTTAAATGACATTTAAGTGACAATTCTGTGGTTTTATTTTCAGTGGGGTCCACTTCCGATTTGGATCGGGTCAACATGGATTCAAATTCTCTTAATTGAGATGACAAATTTGATATATTATACGTTCGAAATGAATAATGGGTGAATGAGAAATTGATTGTCAAAATGTGCCTATTTAAGTTGAGAAAATTAATGTTGGGAAGATTTTAAATAGCCTTTGTCCTGGGAAGGGGTGTGCAACTGCACTAGTATATATGCTATTAAGCAGTTAGATAATTATGTTTAGTTAGAGTTTATTTTGTAGCTATTATCTATTTTTCTGCTAGTCTTTGTGTATAAATAACGTTGTAATTCTCTCTGAATATAATGTGCAAAATATTATTCCTTCATTTGGTATCAGATTATCCAAATCGATCCTATGGCCACTGATCAAAACCCTCATCTTCCCCCTCCCGCTACCGATTCGACCGGTGGATCGACGGCCACCGTCACCATCCCGGAGCATCGGCCTCCCAACATGCTCCAACAAGTCCACCATTATGTGTCCATTAAACTCTCCTTTTCAAACTATCTCTTCTAGATAGCTCAACTGGTGCCTTTCTTACGTGGACAAAACCTCTATAGATACGTTGATGGTACTCATGCTTGCCCACCGGAGTTTCTCACCGACTCCATGTCAACCGCAGCTCCGACCATCAACCTGTTCCACGCTGTTTGGGTCCAACAAGACCAATCAATTCTAAGCATGTTGATTTCATCAATGGCGGAAGAAGTCCTCTACCTAGCTATCGGTTATTCTACGTCGCATTCAGTATGGGTGACGATTGAGACTGCTCTCGGCTCCACATCCTTTGCGCGATCACCCAGTCTCCTCACTCAGCTCCAGAGTCTCCGGCAAGGGGACTCCTCACCGGCAGAGTACCTCAGCAAAGCGCAAGTGTTGGTCGAGCAGCTTGCTTAGGCCGGACGTCCCATCGAGTTCAACGAACCGAATCTCCATGTATTCTATAGCCTTCAACTGGAATACCGCAGCTTCGTCGCCTCCCTCACCACGAAGAGCACACCGCTAACGATCCCGAAAGTGGCTGATCTCTTGTCGACTCACCAATAATTATTTCCGGAGGAGCCTGCACTGCCCCTTCTCCCTTTTTCGGCGGCTATGTTGGCTCAGCACTCTCCATCTTCTCCTAGTAACGGCTGAGGCCATGGTCGCAGCAATAGAGGCCGGAGTCATGGTCAACGAGGCCACAGCAGAGTTCGCTGCCAGTTGTGTGATGCACATGGACACACCGCCCTAACGTGCTACAGACGATTTGTTGATGTCACCGACCAACGTCTAGTGTCGTCACAGTCAGGGCAACATGCGGCCACATCTCCTCAAGCCCACATGGCATCTCACAGCCTCAGGAGGATTTCAACACCACCCCGTTCTCTAATGTCTGGTTTCCTGACACTGAAGCAAATGCCCTTGCGACATTGAACGTTGCTACCTTAAATAATGTAGAACAATACGTTGGTGACGAAACACTACGAGTTGGAGATGGTTCAGGTCTGTCCATATTAAACACATGTTCATTAACTTTACCCTCCAAGTCCCGGTCACTGTCTCTAAATAGTGTCTTACATGTACCTAAATTACGTACGTCTTTATTATCTATACACAAGTTTACTCGTGACAACGATGTCTATTTTGAATTTCATCCTTCTCATTTTATTGTGAAGGATCGTACCACCCAGCAGGTTCTTCTTAGAGGTCCCAGTCACAGAGGGATGTTCTCGCTCACATGTCTTCTCCAGTTGCTTTAATCTCAGCCAAAGCGTGTCCAAAAGTGTGGCATAATCTCCTTGGGCAGCCCCACACTCGTGTCTTGCGTCAAGTTCTTTCTAGTTGTCCTGTCAATGGTTCTTTATGTTCCCTAAATAACTTGTGTACTGTGTGTCAGATGGGTAAGTCTGCGCGCTTCCCACTCACACGAGTCGAGCAATCTAGTCAGTTTGCACTTGATTTAATTTTCACGGACATTTGGGGCCCATCCCCAGTCCCGTCAGTAAATGGCTATAAATATTTCGTGCTTTTTGTCGATGATTTTTCACGTTTTATTTGGTACTACCCAATGAAATTCAAGTCTGATATATATTCTTCTCCCAAAAGGTTGAATCCCAACCCTAAAATCTGATATATATTCTGTTTTTGCTAAGTTTCGTGCCTACGTATAAAATTATTTTTCAACCACTATTAAATGTATTCAATCTTATATGAGCGGTGAATACTGCAAACTCCACTCGGTTTTCACCGCCGCATGGATTGTACACGGACAATCATCCCCTCACACACACACACGAACAAAATGGCCGTGTGGAACGTAGACATCGTCATGTGGTCAAAACCGGGCTAACTTTACTAGCCCAAAGTTATGTCCCACAGAAATATTGGTCTTAAGCGTTCGAGTCCGCGGTTCATTTAATTAACGCCTCCCGTCCGCTGTTTCCCAAAATGTCAGTCCCTACTCCCGATTGTTTCACAAATCTCTTAATTACAGTCTTTTACGTGTGTTTGGGTGCGAGTGCTTACCGTGCCTTCGTCAGTATAACAGACACAAAATGGACTACCGTTCCACTTCTTGTGTTTGTGCCTTCTTGGTTACTGGTGCTTAGACAAAGACTCAGTGCGTATCTATATTGCGAGGCACGTATGATTTAATGAAGAAGTGTTCCCCTTCCAAAGCACGCGACACACAACCTCCACTCCTACGTCTGGAATTGAGACTTCGCTGCCTTGGGCGTGTACTCAAATCTGCCAGCTTTCACCTCCAGTTCAGTCTCCACCAGCGCCCTCGCCACCACCGGCCTTGAGTTAATCCCTCCAGCCACAACCACCAGCTGCGCAACCGTCGAGTCTGCCGACGTCTTCCTGGGCAGCAAAAGCGTCCTCCATGTCCTTCTAACCGTCAACCTCATCGACCACCAAAGGCAGACAACGTCGCATAAGGCCAAATGTTCGAACTCACACCATGCAGCTGCGTACCTCATGCAAGGCGTCATCAACCAACCACGATGGTAGTTTCTGTAGATGATGATGACCCGTCCTGTCACACGCAAGCTATTAAATCTCCACATTGACGAGCTGCAATGGACACTAAATTCAACGCCCTTTTGAAAATCAAACTTGGCGCCTGGTGCCTGCACAACGTGTCATGAACATAATCGGCTGCAAATGGGTTATTCGCATTAGTGCTCATTGAACGGACTCAAACAGGCACCTCACGCATAGTTTAAATGGTTGCACGATTTTTTGTTGCAAATTGGGTTTCGTCCATCAACGATGGATATTTCCTTGTTTATTTTTGATTCATGACAGGTCCGTACTTATGTCTTGGTCTATGTCGATGACATTCTTTTGCTAGGCAACAGCCCCGACATGATTGACAGCGTTATGACTCAGCTATCTTCATCCTTTCGTATTCGTGACCTTCTCATGCATCGGTTCTTTTTAGGAATTAAAGCTTCTTATGTCAAGGATGCCTTGGTGCTCTCACAACAACGCTACATGACAGAACTACTTCGGAAAGCCGACATCGAATCCTGCAAGCAGATGTCCACTCCAGTGTCTCTTGTCACCTCTAGTACCTCTACTGGTTCATCCCTATTTGATGATCCTACGGCTTACAGAAGTCTTGTTGGGTCCTTGATGTATCTCCTGATTACTCGTCCGGATTTGTCATTTGCAGTGAACCGCCTATGCCAGTTTATGCATAGGCCAACGCAAGATTATTGGGTGGCACTCAAACGAGTGTTATGCTATGTGCAGGGAACACGGAATATGGGCCTTCGTCTCAGCCCCTCCTCATCACCAATTGTGCATGCCTTCTCCGACTCGGACTAGGTCGGCTGCTTGGGGAGCTGTCGTAGGCTCCCAAATTAAAATCTTAAACACGTAGTAGTGAGAGTAAGGATCGTTCCCACGATGAGTAACTAGTTTAATTTTTGTGCTTAAGAAAATGATGGGGATTTGGATTATAACGAGAATAAAGAATTAAATAAAAGAAAAATCGACGAAGAACAAAGTATTGAAAGCACTTAGAATAGAAAACCTTGGTTAGTAAATATCCAACACCGAAATTTAGCACTGATCATTGATTCAAAACATAATTAATATGCACTTGAATATTTGTCGTTGAATTATTTCATTCCCGTTTTCCCTTGTAGGTAACTAAAGCACACACGGTTTAATTACCCCTAGGCCCTAACTAATAAATAATCTAGACAAGCGCTATAGATTTAATTTAATAGCAGCAATAGAAATTAGGAAAACCGACAAACTAAATAACACAAGCACAAGCAGTTGCATTTAATTTAGGAAAATATTTTACCTGAGACCAATTATCACTAACGCCGTCAATAATTAATCTCAGTCACTACTGAAATTAGAATAACTTGTAGCACAAATAATTAACTAATATAGCAAATAATTATATCAAATAAATAACTAGTAGGCATTCCTAGCAATTAAATTATACAACTATTAAAATAAATTTAGAAGAATATTTAATACTCAAATGCATAAAAATTATATAAAATAAATAAATAAATAATCTCACAACATAATCAATTCTGTGGCTTCAATTTACTAAATCAAGCTAGAGAAAATTAGCCACGCAGAACTATTAATAACAACTTCAAAGAAAAAAGAATTAAGATAATCTAGAGGAAGAAGAATATGGAGTCCCTCAACAAGAGAATCTTCTACTTTTTCTTTTAAAAGGAATCTTCAACTATTTATATACCTTTTAAATTATTTTCTACCACTCATTTCCTATTTTTGCGCCTAGCGACGAATTCTTCCGCAATTCTTGTAAACAATGCCGTCGAAATAGCGCTTGAATTTGAGGAAGTCAATTCTCGCTGCTGCATGCGCCTGTACGTAGGAATTAGAAAACAAAATATAATGTTTCATTTGTTTTTGTCATAATTCTATTAATTGGACCAAACAACAATACTTAAATTATTAACTAGGCATTTAATAAAACACATATTTACCTAATTGATTATTAAAGTTTAAAAAGAAATAGTTATTATATAATTATAAATAATTAATGCAAATAAAAAAAAAAAGATTTACATAAAATAAGAGTGTAAAATATATTTATCACTGCTCTATTGATCGAAAGTCCATTGCGGGTTACGCGGTGTTTCTTGGCCCCAATCTTGTTTTCTGGGTCTCTAGAAAGCAACGGACGTCGCCCGCTCCTCCATGGAAGCCGAGTACAAAGCCCTTGCCGATGCTGAAGCATAAGTAACCTGGATACAGTCTCTCTTGCGTGAGCTTGGTTTACATCCACCAACGGTCCCGGTCCTGTGGTGCGACAACTTGGGGGAAACATACCTGTGTGTTAACTCGGTTTTTCACGCAAGGACCAAACACGTCGAGGTGGATTACCACTTTCTTCAAGACAATGTGTCGTCCAGGGGGTTGAAGGTGAACTTTGTCTCCACACATGACCAGCTCGCGGATATATTTACCAAGCCACTTTCCTCTACTCGCTTTGGTGATTTACGTTTCAAGCTGGGCGTGGTCCCATGTCCCCCGTCAGCTTGAGGTGGAGTATTAAGCATTTAGATAATTATGTTTAGTTAGAGTTTATTCTGTAGCTGTTCTCTATTTTTCTGCTAGTCTTTGTGTATAAATAACGTTGTAATTCTTTCTGAATATAATGTGTAAAATATTATTCCTTCATCTATGCAGTTAAACTTTATAAGGAGTTTAAATTGTATAGCATAAAGACTCTTTCTCATGCATCCAGGCGCAAATCAAATCCTCTGTGACCAAGGCACATCGAATGTTCTTTTGAAAATTGACAACCTAGAAAAGCTAAGGTGTTGCACGAATGCACATTCCAGTTTTATGTTGAGAATTAACTATGTAACATAATATTTAATCTGATTAATTTTTTCAGATCTTAAATTCATTTTTGAATACCGTTAGTGCTAATAAATTTCACATGTCCTATAAATATCTTGTGTATTTGAGTCACTTTTCTAAACACCCCAAAACTACTGGTTTTCTAGTCATACGAAATCTTTCTACTTTTTCTTCAACAAAATTTTACCAACATTTCACACAAAATTACGAAGTGTTCCTTTTGTTAAAAGTTTACCGACCGTTTATATTTCGTTTATATTTGAGTACTTAAATATAACATTGTAATCCATTATATTTCGAGAAATTGGAGTTTCAATGTTCCTAGCACTATCGGGAGGAAGCAAATCAAATTTGAAAGAAAGTGTAAGTATCATATGCGCACACCTTGGGTTGATTTTGTAAAATCTCATTGAAATCTGTAAGAATTATTTTTCATAAGTTATATTCCCTTGTTATAGAACATATATTACCTTGTAAATTAAAGACTCAACAGACAATGTCAAATGCTGATGTACACAAGGAAACTGTCCACTTTAAACATAATCTCCCTATACATTATATTCTTCCAAAAGGTTGAACCCCAACTTTAAGGGTCCCCACACCCCGGCCCGACAAAGCATTTGGGAGGATGTAAATCACGGTGACTCAACTGAATATGAACCACAGAGACTAGACCCGTGCTGAATGATTGGCAGGATATGCTTTTAAAATGAAATATCATTCTTCCTTTATGACCCTTGGTTATTACTTTTTTAAGACCTTAATCATGAGATTCGAAGCTAAATGTCAAAATCACAAGTCATGCACAACATTACCTTTTTCGTTCTATATTAGATTTTATTATTACACAGTAATTTTCACATCAATTCCATAATTTTTACTCCGTACGCTCTGTTCTTCATCATTACAATATTACTTGCCGGTTTTAGAACAAACATTTTACATGTAAATTTGAATTGTTCATTATAGGCTCCCTTAATCTATTTACCATCATTACCGCGGACTTCCATTAAGTTAATTTTTGTTTTTCTCTTTAAATGATACATTCAAAATAATTTTCTTACTCTTTTTTTAAGTGATGAGAAAAATTCAAAAATCATTAACTGGAGACGTGTATATAGGTAAATTCTGTATTTGTGTAGGTTTGAGAGCTATATAGTAGAAGTAACAACACTAAAAAATCACATGCGACGGGCTTGACCGAATGTGTGTTGACACAATTTTCTAACCATTTTTGATTAGTTAAAGTTAACATTTTTCAAACTCAAATGCAATATAATTAACAGTAAATCTGAAATATACGTCATCTAAATTTTGAAAAAGTTTCTCCATTTTTAGGTCGAATTTTGTCTCAAATTATTTAGCATGATCAATAATTCCTAAATGCATATATAATTAAGGGTCACTGGGACGGATCGGAATAACATGCAGACATTGTATCTGTTAATATACTTTCTCAACCTATTGAAACACAAAGAACCAATAACGCCTCAACTGAGGTTCGAACTCACAACCTTCAAAATAAAAATCCAACCCTTGTACCATTAGACCACATAGTCTTGGTAAGTAGTGTTTGTTACTTATAAGGAAAAATGTAATACTTTTATGGGACGAGGGAGTACTTTTGCTGGAAAATATAATACTTTGGCATAAGTAATAAACACTTTATTCCTAATTTCGGTCAACATTTTGCCCAACTCCGGTGATATTTCCGACAATAAAGTGACCGACGACCGTAGAGGAAATGAACGAGAAGGCAACCCAGTTGCCTTCCAACTGGAGAAGACAACCACTTGGTCGCCTTTTCACCGGGTTGCCTTCTCCGGTGAGAAGGCGACCTAGTGAGTGTGTACTGAATAAACCTTACTATGGTGTGTACTAAATAAATCTCATTTTATGTAATAACTCACAAATCACACATGAGGTGATGGAGAGATAAATTAGTGGTTAAAAGATTTTATAACCGTTTTAAATTCAAAGAGGCTCTTTTGAAAATCAATGGTTAAAAACAAAATGCCCTTTTAGGCTCCTAATTACCTTTGAATTGACCAGGATGATCATACATTTTTATTGGCTGATGACAAAACTTAATTAAAAGGTAATATGTGTTAGGTTAATCAATATTTTAAAAATGTCTGCATGATTATTCACTTTGCATTATTTTATATTTTTTATTATTATGAGTTTTGCGATATTCAGAAAGAAAAAAAAAAAGTTATTAACTGGAATTAATTTAATATTCATATTTGACGGTGTGCATTTGAAATATTAATATTTTATTTTATATGAATTATATTTATTTTATATTTTAATTGGAGTGGTCTTGATATGAATATAATGTGGATATGGAGATGGATGCTTTACAAGTTCTTCAAGCTATTTATTCTGAATATTTTAATTCTTTATTTGATTAAGTTGTCAGTGATATTAAGAAGCTACTAGTCTTTTAGATAATATCCGCTTATGTTTTGTCAAGCGATCTATGAATCGCATCGTCCATGCTATTGCTAGGGAGACCGCTTCTTTATCAGGTTGTGAGGATTGGCATGTCAATCTTCCTAAGTTTGTTATGGATTTGTTGCAAGTTGATTTAATGAATTAAGTTATTTCCTTTAAAAAAGAAAAAGAAAAAAGAGACATTTTGATTACAAAACAATTAAATAAATCTTATAAGTTATGACTCTATAACGTGATGTTTGGTTCAAAGAATAAAAATATGAGATAAAATAAAATTCTAACAAGAATGGAATAAAAAGTGAATAGAATAAGAATACTATTCTATTGTTTGGTTCACAATGAGAATAAACATGAGTTATAGAAGGAATCATATTATTGCATATGGTTGGACAAGAGAATAGAAAATGAATATCATTTAAATAACCAAAATACCCCCTTCAAAATAAAACACATGAATTAAATATATATTATTTCAAAAGCAATTCTAAATAAAAAGAGATCAAAGA